CTCCACTGCTCTGGGATGAGGCAGAGCATCATGGCGGAAGTGTGTGGTGGAGGAAATGCTCAGCTCATGGCAGCCAGGAAGTCGGGAGTTGGGGGGCAGGGGAGAGCAAAGGTCCAGAGAGAAGACAAACCCTTCCAGAGCACCCTTCTTCCTCTAACTAGGTCCCTGCCCCTAGTCCATTCAGCCATCCATGAATTAATCCACGGATGAGGTCAGAGCCCCCATGATTCCTTCACTTCCCCACAGGACCACCTCTGGACACKTGAGACTTGGGGACATTTCAGATCCAAACCATAAYGGTCATTCTCCAGTCCTTCCAGTTCCACCTTTGGATGGAGGGGAGGGCTCTGAACTGGATTTGGAGCTTAGGCAGAGGTGACCTTCATGATCCTGCCACAGAGTGACTGCCTAAAAGACCACAGTGCGAAGAACAACTTCTCACTAGCATGTGGCTTAGGTTGGAAGAATTTGTTTCCTTCCCCTTGTTGAGTAATGATTTAGAGCACTTCCTCCGTTGCTTTCTCCTCCATCATTGTTGGGGAAGGAGAATACCATGTCCTGTCTGCCCTGTGTGGAACTCTTGCAGCCCTGTTTGTTCCTGCCTATAAGGGCATCTCCACATAGGTGGCAGACAGGGAGAAGCTAAGGGGTAAGGAGTCACTTGGGAGCAAAATCATTTATAGGACCAGCAGCTGGAAAAAAATACTGCTGGGCCCTCTGATGGGTTGTTGGAGACATTCACATAGTATTGGTTTAACCATAGTGCAGGTGTAGAGATTGATCAATAGGGAAAGCTGCTGCACTTCAGGAATTCATTGCATGGAGTAGCTCCTCCAGTATTTGAACTAGTATGCTGCCCTCCAAAGCTCCTTTCCCACACATGGGCTGGGTCAAAGGCATTTTAGGAAAGACCCCCATCTCCTATGCCTGCTGTTATCTTAAGGGAWCTCCAACTCTGGCTCTGTCTTCCCATTCTGTTCTTGCTCTCCACTCACTTCTTTGGATTTGATGTTTCATACTCACTTAGGCCATGGACTCAGACACCAGTTCCCCTTTTACTTGAGTCCTGAAACCTAAGTCAACCCCACTTTATACCCTGACCYGCCACTATTACAACAAACCCAAACTCCAGGTAACAGTCCAAGCCAGAGCTTACCCCCTAAGCTTCGACCCCCAAACTCCATTTATTCTAGAAGCTGGGATTGACAGTCAGTAGGACCTCATAAACACAAGTAGGAAAAGGCAATAGACTTTCCTAGAAATTGAAAATAACTTCGGAGCCATTAAAACTATAATGCCTTACCATATACTCTTGATTTAACAGAATGTCTTTTGATATTTATTTATCCATTTGTATATCCCTCTACATTTCTCCAAACTTTGAAATATTTAATCTAAGTATTTTTTTTTGTTGGTGCTCTATAATTTTTGCAATTTAAAGGAATTTCAGCAAAAGTCAGCAATAGATGCTATTCTCAAATAAGGCACTAGGTGGCGCATGTGAATTTTAAGGAAGATTTAAGTTTGTAGTTACCAGTGACAATACTAATGCAGGAAAAATTTTAAAATCTTTCAACTAAAAATAGAGAAATATAAGCAACATAACAGCTTTATAAATATATGTAAAGTCCAAGATAAGGTTTTCCAAAAGAGATAAAAATTGGAATCAATAATGTTTTTTCTTTTCTGTAGACCCTCCAAATCATAGAAGAAGGAAGAAAATTAAAGCTGGCAACAATTTTAGTGGGGACATCAGTTGTTGGTAAAGGCAGAGAGGGATATATCTATATAGCTATATATATCTTTATATTTTATATGTAWGTGTTCATATAGAGATAGATGAATTTTTTTTTTTTTTTTCTGGTTGGAAAAGTAGTTGTCTGTCAGCCTGGAAATATCTTGCATCCTATATCAGTGTCTAGATTGCCAGCTTCAACTTGGGGAACAAATAAGACTGAAGAATTTAACTTCCCATAAGCAGGGAAAGAGATCACACACTACTAAATCTGTGGGTAAAATATTTTAAATGCTATCTTTTATTTATAAAATATCATTGAGGAAGATTTTGGTGAGCATTGAGCTCAGATTTACAAAAAAGCATCTGCATGATTCTTGTAGTTATATTTGGCAGACAGACATAAAGATTGCTGTGGCACACAAATAATCTGCTATGGGCCTCAAGGAGACCAATTTTGATCATGGTGATATTGGATTGTGTATGTTCACACCGAAAATCAGCTTTCTTCTAGAGTATTTTTATCTGCGAGATTTCAGATGAGATTTTGTTAGTGCTTCCACTTTAGTTGGCTATAAAAATATCTTTCAACATGAAGCCTGACCTTCCTGCATGCAGTTCAGGCTGCCTTTTAAGTACAGGTCAGTAGTGATAGGAGTGTTTTCCAAAACCCAGGGGTGTTTTCCAATGGTTCAGTGATATTTTGAATTTTGATTTCCTTTCTCAATCTGCCTSTTACTGTTTACCTCTGAGCAACCTGAGATGGCTGCTTCTTTATATTCCATCCAGGGTATTTATTTGCTCTTAGTGGAGAGATACATTAAGAGTGCCTACTCCATCTTGACTGGAACCAGATCTGTGGGCAATCTTTAAATTCCTATTTTTTTGGTCAAATTATATGCAAAATAAACTCTAACTTATTTCATATTTMTTAGCTTATTTCATATAATTATAAGATAAGAATTTATGAAGGAGATTAGCTAGCTGAATTTAATTTAATGCAAATTTAATCAYTYCATTAATAAATGTTGCATTATTTTGCTTTATGATGAAATTTATGCAAAAAAAGAACTCAAATTTATGTGGAGGAGAGTTTGGACAGAAATGTGCACTCTCCTGTTGTCCTGTTTAGCAAAATGGCTAGCTAGCTAGCAGCAGGAAGCAGCTCTGAATAATAGTGAAAATCTGTATTTAAAACCAATTTCGTTTCTCTTTATGTCACCAATATGCAAGGACATAGATCAATAAATTGTTCTGTTGATAATTTGAAAAATGCTTAGGTTATAAATTTGGTTTTATTAAACAAAATTGTCATTCTAATTTGTACCTTATATGAATTAGCAGTAAAAACGGTTCTAATAATAGAAGTGACTAATAGCATGATTCAAATATGCCTTCTTTAAATGTATCAGTGATGGGGATTGGAAATTAAGATTTAATTTAAGAGGCTAGAAAAGAAAAAAGTCAATGTTCTATTTGCCCATTTTTATTGTGTTATAAGCCCAAGAGTCAATATGTAGAACTGATGAGTCTGCTTCTTCCTTTTTATTTTTTCCACCTACTTTTGTGAAATGCATGTAGCCAAGGGTGAGGTATATGTTCCCATTCCATGATTTCCATGTGGCACTTACAGTGAAACAAAGCCAGCTTCTGGGATCTGGCTAGATAAGATCATGTCCAWGGGTGACATCTTCTTATGCTGTGATGATGATGGGCATGAAAGWTGGTTGGAAAGAACCCGGCCATGATCCTTCTCTACTGGTGGGACATGGAAGTTATTTTACATGTAATTTTGCTTAATTAATGGTGTTCTGAGTAATGTGTGGAGTTATGCAAATTTATTCCATATTTTTGACAAGGATGTAAGAATAGGACTTGGTGCATTTTTTCAGCCTTTGTGCATCTTTTATATCCATGACTGGCTGTAACTGTTTTTACAGACGAGAGAGAGAGAGAGAGAGAGAGAGAGAGAGAGAGAGAGAAGAGAAGAGAAACAAGTCATTAAGGGATTTGCTGAATATCCCACACTCCATTACTCTCAAGCCTGAGACTAGGACCCAGAGTTCTTAACCTCTAGGCCAGTGCTCCCCCCAACACCACATGGAGTAGTGATAAGTTTATGAAGGGAATTATGGGAAGGCCCAATTTAACACTGAATTAATTTTAAACCCTGAAAAACTATATTTTGATATGCCAGAGGCAATTGTTATTTATTACCAACCAAGTTTTTTAAATGCATGATGAACAATGGCCCCAAGAGAAAAATCCCAACATATACACAAAAGGACATATTTAARGAACAAAACAAAACATATTTTGTTTCTGGTAGGAAACAAAACAAAACAAACAAAAAAACCTGGAATCAGCCTAAATATCGACTAATATAGGACTAGGTAAATGAGTTGGTATATATTTATATGATTAATGTGACTGACTAGGTAGATAGTTTTAAAAATCATCATGTTAAGTGAAAACAAGCCTGCAGAATGAAATCCACAATATGATATCATTTTTATAATGGAATAACAGAACCTATATATTACTCATGAGTACATATATAAATTTTACCAATATTTAGAAATAGACTGGGAAGATGTCTACCAAACAGTGGCCACCTCACTGCAATGGGACAAAGGTCATAAAGGGGTCTCAAATAAGCGAATAAGATAAAATGTAAACTGATCAATTCTTTGGTTTTTACTGTATTCTCAGAAGTTTGCTTTAGAAATATCTAAGTTGGGGGTGGTGGTGGCAGAACAGATGAAGGGACCTGGAAGGAAGGGAAGACTTATGATTGTACCCCAGTGAAACTCGATGCCTGAAATGAAAACAGGATGCAGAATGCCATTCGTGAAATTCCTTCCTATTAGCATCTCAGGATTTTCCATGACTTGGCTCTTTTTCTATGAAATATTGCACATGGGTTGATAGTGATCTTACCACACCAACCAGGAAAGGCATGTAGGAGTGGTTTATTCCTGGAAGTGCTGTGGTTAGATTTTAAGGAAAGTAAATATATGTGATGGGCGGCCATTTGGTAATGCTCCCCACTTGGCAGGAGCGAGACCCAGCTTAGGTGCTCACCTCCCACTGGTAGCTCCACCGGGAGAGCCTGGGCATCTGCACTTGGCTTGCATTTACTCTCTYCATCTCTGAAGTCTCTTCACGTGTCATGTGACAACATTGGGAACGAGCCATCCTCATTAAAACCTTCTGCTATGTTATTTACTGCCTGAATGCCAATACTCTCTTGATACATTTCTAGGCATGAGAGGATGCATACCAGGGGACCCTATCATGTGCAGGATGCTGAAAAATACTGCCTCGAGGATGATTTGGTCAATCTCGAGGTCCTGGATGAGGTACTGAATATTTAGTAGACAGTTCTCATTGGAGGTGTTTGTTGTATGTGAATGGTTTGACCTTTCTGTCGTAGACCATGTTCTTCTAAGGTCATTTGACAATTTAATTGTATAGCCATGGGGTGAAATTCAGGGAGCATTCGGTTGCTGTGACTATGTTCCTGTTTGTTTTCATTTAGAGCCCCTATAGTGATGAAGAGAAAGAATTTAGATTTTTCCTATAAAGCCCATTATATGATAGGGCTAAATGATGGATTCTATCCCTGAAATTATTTTCTGCCTAATAAAAAATGGCAATTAACCCTCAAGATAGTTGTTTGTTCTTCATTAAGAGGCGCTTCATTTAGGGAAATAGTGAAGTTAATATAGCTCACATTCTAAAGCTGAATACTGTGATAATCCTCATTTAAAATATGCACATTTAATAGAGCCRTTAATTGTGCTGGACCTGCTTCTGCTGAGTCTAACTCTTGGGAGMTTTAATTTCAACGACTGAATCACTAATGCATAATGTCAAAGTGTTCAATTCCATATTCCTACCACCTAGATTTTAAGTGCAATGCTTTGAGAAATGAAATTACTATTTTGTCTGTACTTTACCATAGGAGTAGCCTAACTAAATTCTAAGTAGAACATTTTGATTGGGTAAGACAAGTTTTTTTTCCCAATAACAAATAAAATTTTTGTTGACTATTTCAATATCCTTTAACAAGTCCTAATTTTTTTCAGTATATCCCTATTTTTCTTCTTTSAAGACAAATATCTGTGCCATTTTAGTGACTTGAGATCAGTAGGATCATTGTATAATTTCAGTGAACTACTTCAATCTTTTAGAGAATAATATTCTTATAGGAATAAATTCGTTGTTATTTTTAGAATCTCTGGCTTGGTTGAATATAATGTCTACTGCTCTCAATACCTCTTTTTCGTTTCTCAGGAAACAATTATTCATCACTTGCAGAAGCGTTATGCAGACTCACTGATTTACACATATGTTGGAGATATTCTAATTGCCTTAAACCCCTTCCAGAATCTAAGCATCTACTCTCCACAGGTAAGGAATACTTTGAGAGCATGTGTTAGTCAGTTTTTTTTTTTCTGCTGTGACTAGAAGACCCACCAGAGCAATTGTAAAGGAGAAGATGTTTATTTGAGGGCTCACATTTTTAGAGGTCTTGTTCCATAGACAGCAGGCTCCATTCCTTAGGGCTCAAGGTGAGACCAAATATGATGGCGGAAGAGTGTAGTGGAGGGAAACAACTCATATGATGATCAGAGAGCAGAGAGAGAAAGAGACTCTACTTGCCAGATACAAATATATGCCCCAAAGGCATACCCCTGGGACTCACTTTCTCTAGCCACATCCTACTGGTTTTCAGTTACCACTCAGTTAATCCATCAGGGGATTAATTTATTTATTCTATCAATTGGTCAATCAATCAAATTAATAATAAATAAAAATCACACAAGCAAATGGAAAGAAAGATGATGTGGTAATAAAATCAAGCCACCCTAGAGGTATATATACTCCAAACTGCAAATAATAATGCAACATACTAGAAAGGTATGGAGGGTAACTTTTTAAAGCAAGCTACAACAATAGCTAACAATTATCAAGTGCTTGTGACATGCCAGGCATTGGGTTGTGATCATTTCCCACAACTCTGTGACATAGGTGCTATTAGTAAGCCTGTCTGGCAGATGAGGAGACTTAGCACAAAGAAGTTAATGCCCTGGCATAGGCTCCCAAGAGCTGGAATTTGAACTCGGACCTGCAGACTGCAGAGCCTTCCTGAGACAGCAAGTTCCTACTTAAGTAATACAAYCTTGGTTTCCTGGGCAGCAGATGGTGAAAGCATTAGATGGTCCACTGGACCCTTAGAAGTTTCCTTTAAATTAGTTACCGTTTTCTTCAGTTTTCCAGGCTCTATCACGGGGTGAAGCGCATCTCAAATCCCCCCCACATATTTGCATCAGCAGATGCTGCTTACCAGTGCTTGGTTACTTTCAGCAAAGACCAGGTAGGGACCCACCTTTCTTTCCTACCAGGTACGMTTCAGCTCCTGAGTCTTCCCGGAACCTTTCCCTTCTGCTGCAGGAAATGGGAAATGAAATCGCAGCTCAGGGCAGATGCAACACTGATAAGGCCACAATAGCAGGAGAAAGCAGAGCCCACTTGGAGAAATGTGAAACATTCACACCAAGAGCACTCACCTCTCATAATAAGTAATAAAGTTTCTAATACAAATACTATATTTCACCACATAATCATTGAAGATTTATGCCAAGGTGTGTGTGTGTGTGTGTGTGTGTGTGTGTGTATGTATGTGTGTTTTTCAAAAAGTTAGGATACAACCATTATGTGATTCTTTTTTTTAAAAAAAATTATGCCAGTATTACTCTAAATATAATTTATTATTAAACTGTCTTTCGTTTAAGGTTAGGATGCACAGAATACTTGCAAATATACATTAAAATGGAATAGTCCAAATGGGTCATTTTTTCATGACAGTTTAATGAACATTTTTTTTGTGTCTGGAAACAAAAGTTAACATTAATTGTTATTGATTTGTGCATTACAGTTGAAATATTACACTTGAGAAAATTTACTACAGCATTGCAGAATATAAACTTAGAAAATTTAATTATCTGTGTCTGAAGATTCTGCACCGCTATCACTGGTTAATCTGATACCTCAGCTTTGATATTGTTCATATAAGATGTGTTTACTGTGAGTACTGCAGTGCTCTAAACCAACCACACAAGTTGAAAGTCACCTTTCAGAAATATACTGACAATGTGCATGCACTGCCCCGAGAATCCCAGGCTTCAGGCTCGCAGTGCATGAGAAGACAAACATGCACCCATACACCACTGGTGAACACATTGCTCTCTTTACCTTTTAAACAACATGAGAAATAGAATTGTACCTCATGATGATTATGGAATGAAAGGTTCTAAAGCAGTTTTTTTTTTTTTTTTTTTTGTACCAGGGATTGAGTTCAGGGGCATTCAAGCACTGAGCCACATCCCCAGCCCTATTTTGTAATTTATTTAGAGACAGGGTCTCACTGAGTTGCTTAGCTCCTCACCATTGCTGAGCCTGGCTTTGAACTCAAGATCCTCCTGCCTCAGCCTCCTGAACCATTGGGATTACAGGCACGTACCACCCATAAAACAGTTTTTAGACTGAAAAAATAGGTGCAACAGTTATGTGGTAGTGATGATCATGTGGTGAAAAATGGTATAGTGAGAACATGATTACATGACAACCATAATAATAGTATGTAGAAGGGCATAAATGAAATTCCTTCCTATTCAGGTCTCAGAATTTTCATGACTTGGACCTTTTCACATGACATTTTGCACTTGGTTTGCCAGTGATCTTGCATCACACTGTTTAGCTGCTGAGAAATTGTGATGGGCTGGGCTAAGACTGAATGAGCTTTAAACTCAATGCCAGTTCACCACAGATTTTACTCACCCTTTAACCCTCCAGACTTCCCATTCATCGTAGTGATRCATCCTACATTTGACCACTCCTTTACTCTCAACAGGTGTATTTTCTTTATTCTGTGTGAGATGTGATCTAATTTGGAGTGCAGATTTTATGAGAAAAATCACCATGTGTATATTTCCTAAGACCTGCAAAATCCGAACTTGGGGTTGTTGAGAAATAAATAAAATTACAACAACACAGGTTATAAAATGGAATGCATGGATTCACTGTAGGTTAGAAACTTGGTTTCTCCAGGTTCTTACTGCTCTCAGAGATTTGTGAAATGCCCATAGACTTGATGGAGAGGAAGTAAATGGAATGAGATAATGTAGTTTTCAAGTTAAGAAAAGTTATGCCCACTATTCTGTCTTTTTTTTTCTTTTTTCCTGACACCAAATGTGTGTTTTCCAAACTAATCAGTTTTCCAGTTCTCTGATATCAACTGGGCATCCTACAATTCAATTCAATTCAATTCAATTCAGTTCTGACATTATCTGGATTTAGACTCTACAAGTTAAGGGCTCAATCTAACAAAACTGCCCTGATTCAGAAGCCAGCCACAAATGGAGTAAGTAGCCAGGCATCTTACAGTTCTACCAAACCAAATGCAAATTCAGGGGTCACCAGGACCCCCCTCAGGTTTGCTGATTCACTAGAACAATTCACAAGATTCAGGAAAATACTTAAGTTTACTGCTATATTATAAAGGGTACGACCTAGTACCAGACACATGGGAGAGATGCAGAGGGCAAGCTACCGGGGAGGCGCATCTGTTCTGGACAGCCCTCCCTATACTCCATGTGTTCACCATCTTAGAAGCTCATTGAAATCGTTGTTCAAGAGTCTTCATAACTCAATTTCCAACCTCGTTCCCCTTCCCGGAGTTTGGGAGGTAGGGCTGATGGTTCCCACCCTCTAATCACCTGCTTGGTCTTTCTGGTGACCAGTCCCCTCTAGAAGCAGCCTAGGTCCCTCACCTTGAACCACTTCATTAGTAAACTGAGGTGTGATTCAAAGGAGCTCCTTGTGAATAACAAAAATGCTCCTATCATTCSGGCCACTCAAGAGATTCCAAGGGTTTACGCCAGAAACCAGGGATGAAACCCAAACTTTTTATTATGCCACAGCCACTCATTTCCTTTATGCATGAAGAGTTCCTAGAAATGAATTATAAAAAGGTCAACAATGCAATAAAAAATAGGCAAAGGATATGGATAGGTTGTATAAGAAAAATACAAATGACCTTAAGCATATGGAGAGATGCCCAACATTAACTCTAATAAAAGAAATGCAGATTAAAATTGCACTGAGATTTCATTTTTTAACCTATCAGGATGGCAAAGATCCAATCTACTGTGTTAGTGAGGCTGTAGGAGGGCAGGCATTTTGATACATTGGTACAGTCCTTAAGAAAGCAATTTGGCAGTATCTATCAAATTTATAACGAATAACCCCACTTCTCAGCATTTATTCTGTAGATGAACCTGCATATAAATATAATGACCTGTGTATAGCATTAGTCATTGAAACATTGTTTGTAATGACAGAAGGAAAAAAAAAACCCTCAAGTATATCAAGAAACAGATTAACGTATGTCTGTACATTGAAATGACAAGTAGCTGTGCCCAAGGTTGAAGAAGCTCTCCATGTACTGAAATGGAAAGATTTGTAGGATAGATTTATTGCTTGGTGAAAAATCGAAGTATACAACAGAGGATGTAATATGAAGACCACGGCTGAATGTACAAGTTGTTTCATGGCCCTGAATTCTTCTCTCTATACTCCATTTCCCATGTCAGTGCATTGTCATCAGTGGAGAAAGTGGCTCAGGGAAGACGGAAAGCGCCCACCTGATTGTTCAGCATCTGACTTTCTTGGGAAAGGTATTGACTGACCTGATTTGTGTATCATGGCTAGGAGTTCCTGCAGAGCAGCTGCCTGTTTCATAAGTGATGGTAGTACTGCTTTTTATTAGGGGTTACCTAAAAACATTCCATCTTTGTTACATTTGCCTCTTGGGAGCTCATCCTCTTAAGATGTCAGCATGCCAACCTTGTTTCACATTGGGAGGAAAATAATGAGAGTGCGAACTCGCCAGATTATTGGCCATTAATTTTTCATGTTTTCAGTGTAATAGAAACATGGAGCTATTAAATTGTAAAAGTGATTAAACACTATGAACAGATCAGGGAGAGCTGCTACGGGAATGGGAGGGATGGAAAATGAACATCTTTGGCAAAAGTTAAGGGAAATGAACGTTTAAGTTTGGTGAAGTGGACATTGAAGAAACAATTGCAGAATTAGCCTAGTGGTTGCTGATACTCAGAATTAATGTGTTATATAACTAAAGAATTTCAGGAATTTCAGGAATATATATATATATTTAGTAGAAGAGGCTAAGTGAAGACTATAATGAATGACTGAGAAAAATTATGGCATATATCTATTTAAAGTTCTGTTTAAACTGTTTTGCATTTTACCTATCAAAGATTTTAAATGAGATACAGCAAGATTTAAAAGCTGCTGTCCTCACCTAGCCTAATCTGATTCATACCCACCTGGTGAGTTGCTCATTGGAGAAAGTGATGCAGGCAGTTGTTGCTAATCCCCCCAAATAGTGCTCTTTGGAAATAGTGTGAACTTTARCAGCAAGAGAGGGCCCCCAGCAACTTTGCTGGAGTAATGTTTCTGAAGGCTTCTCTTGACTGTCCTCTGTCTGGCCCAGGCCAATAATCAGACCTTGCGAGAAAAAATTCTACAAGTCAACTCCCTGGTGGAAGCCTTTGGGAATGCATGCACGGCCATCAATGACAACTCAAGCCGTTTTGGAAAATATCTGGAAATGATGTTTACACCAACTGGAGCTGTGATGGGGGCAAGAATCTCTGAATATCTCCTTGAGAAATCCAGAGTTATAAAACAGGCAACGTGAGTGCACTACTTATCACTGTTTTCATTCTGCCATATAAATTTGGAGGCTTTGGGATTTTGTGTGTGTGTGTGTGTGTGTGTGTGTGTGTGCACATGTGTGCTGGGGATTGAACCCAGGGGCACTGTACCACTGAACTGCATCCCCAGCTCCTTTTTCTTTTTCCCCCCTCCCTTCCCTTCCTCCCTCCCTCCCTCCCTCCCTTCCTTCCTTCCTTCCTTCCTTCCTTCCTTCCTTCCTTCCTTCCTTCCTTCCTTCCTTCCTTCCCCTNTCCCTCTCTCCCTCCTTCCTTCTTTTCCCTCCCCTCCCTCCACTCCCTCCCTCCCTTCTCTGTCTTTCTTTCTTTTGAGACAGGGTCTCACTAAGTTGCTGAGAGCTCCAGTTGCTGAGGTCAGCCTTAGATTTGTGATTCTCAGGCCTCAGCCACTTGAGTTGTTGGGATTATAGGATTACAGTGTGAGCCATAGTGCCCAGTAGCTTTGAGAATTTTAATGGTTCCATCTTCATCCTTGCTCTTTCCCATTTCCCAGCCTCCACAAGAGCAAGGAATTAATTGTTTAAGTAAAGGATCAGTGGTAATTTTTGACCAAAAATATACGAAGGGGCACAATACAAAGGGTTGGCGTTAAAGTGCTTTTGGAATAGGTGTACTTGCTTTTCCTAAGCTGGCTGTATCAGTAGAATTTAAGAGTATTGCAGACACTTTTAAAATTCATTAGATCTGGGCTGGAGATGTGGCTCAATGGTAGAGAGCTTGCCTTGCATGTGTGAGGTCCTGTGTTTAATTCTTGACACCACAAACATAATTTAAAAAAATCATTAGATCCCTTAAAGTTGAATTTGTCTATTTAAAAAAAAAAGCAGAGGATATTCCATATGTTCATTTTTTTCCTCTCCATGAGAGAAAAATATTCACAATTATTATGTCTTAATAAAAACAGTATTAATAGGTAATCGTAATTAGGGGCTGCGGTTATGGCTCAGTGGCAGAGGGCTTGCCGAGCATGTGTGAGCAACTGGGTTCAATTATTAGCATTGCATATAAAGAAATAAAATAAAAGTTCATTGACAACTAAAAAACATTTTAAAAAATGGGTAATTGTAATGGATAGCATGGGCTTTGTTCTGGGTTCAAATGCTAGTCCTGATACTGTGAGATCTTGGGCAAATCACAACCCTTTCTGTGCCTAATCTGTCAAATGAAGTTGCTATTACTGCCAACCTTAGGGTTTGCTGGGAGGATTAATGAGTTCATTTATATAAATTACTTTAAAGAATGTCTGATATGGTACATGCTCTCAGAGTGTTAGCCACTCTTGCCATTATTATCACTGCAGGACACCAGAGTTCCTCAGGAGTATAGCTTCATCTGGACATAGACATACACTATTGAATGCCTGCTGTATACCAGTGCTGTGTTCTTTCCTGGGGCTGTAAGAGTCAACAAGACAGACAAGATTGCTGAATTTATAGAGCTTGAAGTACTTAGAAGAGATGGGCAGATCTTGGTTCTTAAACAAATAAATGCAAATGTAGAGCAAATGTGATAATTGCCAGAAAGCAATGTAAGGTTCTGGGAAAGTGAAACAGGAGAAAGGAAGAACACATCAGCTAGTCCTGGAGGAAAGAAGAGCTCCCCATACCAGACATTGAATATGAGATCTGAGGATCACTAGGAGTTAGCCAACAAGGTGGGGATGGGAGCAGGAATCTAGAGAGTGGCAAAGATGAGACTGAGAGCAGTTTGTGCAGGGCTTTGGAGGCAGGCTGAGGACTTTGAACCTTTTTTGAAAACCACTCTTAGGCTGTGGAACATTTCCAAGAAGGGACTCACAAAACCCAACTTGCATCTTGAAATGCTAACGCTAGTTTCAATGAATCAATGGAGATGAGAGAAGGCTTGTGCTGAAGAGTCAGGGCTGTTGCTAAATCTACATAGAGAATGTCAGCCTGGATGAGGTGTAGAGAGAGGGACCTTCCCAGGGCTGCTAGGCAAGAAGAACCCACAGGCCTGGGTTTAGCCTAAGAACCCAAGCACAGGGGTGGGGGTGGGGTAGGGGTGGGGTGGGGGGGTGCAGTGCTGGAGCACTTATCCGGCCTGGGCGGAGCCTGAGTAAATCCCTGGCACCATGGAAAACCAAAGCAAAACCTCAAGCGTCTTCCTCTACCATGCTCTTAGTTTCCTCACACAATGGAGGCTGGCGTGCACATTATTAAACAAGTGAACAGGAAATGGAGTGAGAAGCATTTATGTTTCTCTGTGGCTTCTTGATTTATTTTTATAAGGTTCCCTGCTTCTTTCTTTGTCCCCAAATTAGAATGATTTTAACCTGTAGGGAGCTACCTCTGACAGGATGGAGATTATCTTGTTCTGTGTTCACATGTAAAGTGCTCTTTTACAAAGCTAATGTGTGGAGTGTTCCTCTCACACCTGCATGGATTTCTGGGGAGTGTGGCTCCTCACTCTCCTCACCTGCAGCAAGGGCTTAATAATGCCAACTCCACAAGGCTCTTAGGAGAATTGAATGAGGTGAAGAGAAGGAAGAGCCTTACAAGTCCTGTTCATCCATGGTGGTTCTTATCACTTGTGGGCACTCTGTAGGATTCCCCTTCCTGGTCCCCGGGTTGCTGAGTGTAGTCTTATAGTCAGTTCTGGAAAATGGGCATTTACTGGTAACTCTCCAGAGGCTGGCAAAGAGTAAGATGGTGGCTGCCCCATGGGCTGGGCCACTCATAACTACAATGAACACAGCTTGACTGCTGATCCCCCATGGACAGGGACTCTGAGCAGAAAATAAGCCTTGGCTGAGATTAGGCACTAAGATCTCATGGTATTTACAATGGTGGCAAGACCTAGCCAATCCTGATAGATAAAGGGATGGAGATCAAACCGAATTAATGCTAGGGATGGATTTTGAGGGGAAACTTGAAAGAATTGAGAATCAGAGGTGTTTGCTAAAAAACTGTAGGAAAATATAATCAAGATGGGTCAGCCAAAGCCTTCACATTTAATGGAAGGTTAAGGAACAAGTGGTATTTGTGCCAGGTGTACCTCCTCCAGACCCAGTGCAGCCCCCATCCCTCCATGCTCAAGGTAGAAACCAGGAGGCAGACCCCAGCTCCCATCCTCATTCCATCTATTAGGCTGTTCTTTTGGTTGTTTCTCCAAAGCATGTATTTAAGCCCACCCTCTCCATCACCTCTGCCATTCCTCTATCTAGGCCACATTGCTTTCTTACCTGGACCTCCCAATGCGTCTCTCTATATGCATTGTGGTTTCTTACAATCTAGTCCCATGCTGTGGCTGGACAGTACTTTCACTACGGATCTGTTCACGTCACGTACTTCTAGTGCCTCCCAAGTCCCTGTGTGGGCTGGTGCTGCCTGCCTGTCCACTCCTTCTCACTGGCACCCTTTTCAACCTTCATGGGTGTTGTGCTCAGAGCCCTTGTGTATGTGTTGCTCCCTGTTTAGAAGCCTTCTTTCCCCTTCTCTTTGTAGCTCCTTCCAGCCCCTCTCCAGACATTAGGGCTTCACGTTACCATGGTTTCCTCAGATAGGCCCTCCCCTGACTTGACACAGGTCATCCCTTTTCCCAGCACTCAACTCAGCCCCCTGCTCATTTCTTCCAAAGCCCTCATCTGGTGGGCATTTCTATTTGTTTCATCTAACCCATCTCTAGAAGGAATGCTCCAAAAGGCCATGAAGCTTCTTAGTCCTGTGTCCCTGACACCCCACAGCACGGTACCTGCCTTGATCAGTACTCAATACATTTATTAGTTGAATAGAAGCCTTTTTATTATGTGTCCATATCCCATAACATCATATCATATACCTTAAATATACACAATACAATTTATTTTAAAAGATAAAGATTGATTTTTAAAATTATTGAGTGAACAAATGAGTGAGGAACGGCAGATAGGGACATCTGGGATACAGAGCAGTGATAAGAACATTTCTCCCATCATAAACTGACTCCAGCTCCCAGGCTGTGCACATATCTAAAAAGGCCCTGACCAAAGTGGCCTAAAAGGGGTAGACAGCAGAAGACCAGAGAGACTGAGGAATGACATTTCCAGTCGTACCTGAGAGTACACCAACTTGGGAGCCTGCAGACCTCAGTTCTGGGACTAATCCTTCTCTGTAGGACCTGCAAGGGACTTCCTGCCCGAGGTTCCAGGAAAGGAGGAGTTTGACTGATCTAAGTTGAACTTCACTGTCTCTGAAACAACAGGGGTTACTAACAGAAGGCATGTGACAGATGAATAGGTGTGGGGCTGGAAGTGAAAGAACTCTAAATATGTGTAACCTGAGCACCTACCTGTTCCCTTCTGTAAAACCTCCCTCTGCTCATAGTAAAGTGTGTTTAAATATGTAACATTGTGAGGATTACAGTATGAATCCTAACTCTATTACTATTCAGCAATTGGAGTGAAGTATATTTAATTAGCTAAGAATGAAAAATTACCATAGAATATTTTGCAACGAGAGAAAAATGATATAAATGACTTAGGATGGGGAATCCCAGAATATGGTATTAATAAAGTCTCTTTCTCTTTGTTTTAGGGGAGAGAAAAATTTTCACATATTTTACTATATTTATGCTGGTCTTTATCACCAAAAGAAACTTTCTGAGTTCAAACTTCCTGAGGAAAAACCTCCTAGGTAAGTATCAGGGATTYGGCTTGTTAATTTTGCATGAATGTACAATTAGCAACTGACAAATTCAGAAGTAAATGGATCTTCTTTCCTAACTGGAAACTCACAGCCTTTTTAACTTAAATACATAGGAGGAAGTGGCCATTTGCATTTTCTAGAATATTCAGAAGCTCAACTGCAACCATTTTACTCAGCCTTGTACACCATTATTCCCCCACAGTGTTAGATGGTAAAGGAAATGACTTCCAAAGGAGCCAAAGTGGCACTTGTCCTGGAACCTGAGGTACCATTTTCCAAGTCAGTGCTCATGGTGTTTGGCCATATTCCATTTCATTTAGGTACATAGCTGATGAAACTGGAAGAGTCATGTATGACATAATTTCCAAGGAGTCTTACAGAAGCCAGTTTGAAGCAATTCARCATTGTTTCAGGATTATTGGATTCTCTGAAAAGGTAAGTGATTGTCAGGAGAGAAACTCAAGTGTTACTATTCTTCAGTGACCATGAGTGAAGACATGGACGTTCTAGCTTGGGGCAGGATACTTTCCACATGCCACAGTGGTCATCTGAGAAGGTCTTGCTACTCCAAGTGTGGTCTGAGGAGCCAAACTGTCATCTCCTGAGAACTTATTCAAAATGCAGACTCTTGGGTCCATCCAAGAATGACTGAATCAGAATCTGCATTGTAGCAAGACACCCAGTGGACATAAAGAAGAGAAGCAGGATCATGTATCTATGAATTCTTATCACTATCATCAATTCACAATAGCTGAATAACAAGCACCAAGGCAAGAGTGTCCCTTTTTGAGTTGGAGTCATTCACCATGAAAGTGAATTGTGTCTAGAGTATAGGCATGCACCCATTACACCCAAGCTACAGAATTATTTTGATGAAGCGACTCTTTGTGCATGGAGACAAATTAATTAAAACCCTTTTAACTTTTTTGCTGTCACTTCCCTCTCCACGGCACACAGCTGTACATTTTTAAGTAGAGTTTTAAGTATTGCACTACTCTTATCACACAGATAAAGGTTGTCTCTATTAAATACATGCTAGGAGTGATAGACAATATTTATAACCGTAGGCTCAAATATTATTCAGAGATACATTATGTCATAGCATCAATTTTGCAAAACATATAGTTTCTTTTGCTTTTCTAACAAAGGGAGTAAATGACTAGAAGGTAGGTAAGAGTGTTACATCTTAAGGAAATAGGTTACAAAACATTCCAGTCACCTTGGGACAGCCACTCGGAATAGATTGCTTCTATAATCCAGTGAGTTTGGCTAGCCCTTCCCTCCTCCCCAGCATGGTTGATTTTAGTCATAATAATACCTTTCTTTTTTCCATCCAGCTGCTAATTTTCTCTGTTGGCCTCCCACTGACTTTAAACTGACAGACAGTGGAAAATCCCAAAGGTCAGATAAAAATAGAAATATATTTCCCTTGGCTCCTTAGAGGAGAGCAATTAAACAGGTTTCAACATTGTTAAAGGAGCTTTATGTTATTAATTTACAGAGCTGGTTTTTATCCAATAAGCATCACCAGAACACTCAAAGTGGAGTGGAGATGACAGCAGAGTCATTTCAAGTCACCTGGGTCATTCCAAAGTGTTTGGGGGCATATGTCCTTAAAAGCTACAGGAGCCATAGCAAAGTCAGCCCCTAAGGTTGATAGTATTTTACTCCTAGGGAATATACAGATGATTATAGAATGCTATGAAGAGACTGGCCCCAGCTCTAATAGAATGCATACAATAATGCTATTATAATAATCCTTTAAATACCCCTGATAATAATCAAACAGACGATGTTTTAAGGTAACAAAATTAAAAACAGAAGAAATTAAGTATATGTCCTTGAAGTAAGCCATCCCTAGCCCCTGTGTAAAGAAAAGTCCAGTAGAAATGAATCAATGAATGAATGTATAAATAAATATGAAAAGAATTTTAAAAAATGTGAAAATTCTTAATTTGTGCCTGGTCTACACTGTTAAATGAATAACTGGAGTGTGATGGCATGTCTCTGTATCTTTCCCATGTTCAATATTAATTCATACTTGAAATAAACTAAATTATGTCAGTTAGTAATTGTGGAAATTTGAAGAAGAGGCTGGATCTTCTCTACCTGACATTAGATTTTGTGTTTATGTTTGTGCAGGCAACCTGTTTTGTTGGATTAACTCAGTTCACTTTGTGTTTATAAACTTACAGTAATGTGACTAAATTCAGAAAGATTCAGTTCAATGAAGTCAGGCAGCAGATGCCAAATGGCTGATGTAACAGAACTTTCTCTGAAGTTTTTTTGGCAGACATTTCTAGGCAGAACTTAAGTGAACTGGTCAATTCAATAAAAATTATGTTTCCTGTCCTTCTTGGAAGGTCATTAGTCCCCTGCAGAAATCCCTGAAGTTTTTCTCAAACCCTTAACAGCAAAATTATGAATAGCAAACCTTGGTGTGGACTCAGGAAGATGAATTTTAATTCTGGGACACTGGCCAAAAGTACTGCAAGGAACACTTGACTATGAGTTTATTGTAAAGAAACTTCTCTGGTGGAAGGAACTGTGTACTAATGATGATGGTGTCTTGCAAGGGTCTCAAGGGATTATTCCTAAAACCCTATCGTGAATACCAGTGCTTTCCAACTTTTACGTCTAGAGCCAAACCATACTGTTTTATGTTTAATATTATGCTTGTTTTGCTGGTATGGGAATTATCATAACATATTAAACACATGGAGTTTTAAAATATGTTTATATTTAATACCACATGAAAACTTTTGGGGCTGATGGACTAGGTGATGGTCAAGGTTAGATACATCCTGCTGATCCCTGGATGCAGAGGGTTAAGGAGAAGTCTTTGAGTTCAGAGCAGAATTTCTTCCCTTTATTCAAAATAGATACGAATCCAAAGAGTATTGATGAAGAGAGATTGAAGGGCTTTATTTTAAAATATAACTTGGGGGTCTTGAGATGGCCAATGTCTTAACTTAGACAATAGGGTACCATTGACTTTTAAGATGCCCACTTGTGAACCTCTGCCTAGGAGATGAGTAAGGTGCTGATAGAGCTTGTAGGGAGATGGCCCTGCAATGGTCCTAAGGCAGGGCTTGGTGCAGAACTGGTGAAAAACTAAAGGATTTATAGAAAAGAAAGAAGGCAAAGGAAGACTGATAGGAGGAATAAATTCCTAAGGAGGCACAGGAGGACAATTGCCTGAGAAGCCTGGGAGCCAGGTTGAGGGAGAGTCCAGTAAATCAGCGCTAGGTTCTTCTCAACTTTCAGCCTGGCCTCAGCTCTTTCTGGGGAATGCTTACATCAGTAAAGAAATGCCTTCTGAGAAAAAGGGAGAGGCAGCAGAGACCGTGCATCCACAGTGGGGCCTTGACTGAGGACACTGTCCCCACTTTGGCCAGCTGATTGATGGAGAGGCTGAGTTCACACTCATCCACAGTCCAGGAAGATGACCCAACTGGAGGACTTCTTAGTCTTCCTGATAACATTGCTTGTTCTCAGTGAAGTCATTTCATTTTTTTTTTTCATATAGAAAGTTGGAACCTGATGGGAAATAAAAGAGAGAGCAGCGAGATAGAGACAGAAAAGACAGAGGTTCCAGAAAAAAGTGACATAGTTGGAGATGAGGCAAGAGAAAATGACATGAGAGAGGTGCAAAGGCTTCCCCAGGATGTCTGTGAGCAGAAATGAAGAGAACTCTGAACAAAGAGTGTGGGGGAAGGTGAAGTCATTTCACAGATGGACATACAACAGAATGAGCTCGCCATGATTGTATATGGGTGATGTTTGACGCAGATACAGTGGTGGATGTAGGTTCCTAGGTCATAAAGGAAGCATTGATTAATCCGCATGTAGGGCTAAAGGAGCCAAGAAGGGGAATAGCCCAGAAATGTGCATAGCGAGCACCCTAAGGCTAATAACCCCTTAGTAAGGGAGCCTTGGATACTCCTTCCCCACTTCCTTGAACCAAGGGAGGAGACTCAAGCTACCATTAACTCTGGTGAGTCACACACTGTTTGAACTTAAAAGTTTTCACTCAAGGTCATGGTAGCTTTCCACTTTTCTTGGCTGCCTGGGCATTGTGTCGAAGAGATGCTTGCCAGAGAAGCAACAGGGCGGGATGCTGGTGTCAAGGGCATGATCTTTGATAACCATTTTCTTTGGGAATCATCATCCCAGGCGTGAAACACCTAGAAGCTTTATTTGGGGAGGTTTTGAGCCTTGTACTACAACATATAAAAGGTAATAATGTTTAATTAGAGGAAGTACATTTTTCCTCTAAGAGTATTCCAAGTTTTAGATACCCTCCTGAGGTAACTGGATATAGAATAGCAGATGTAGTAGAATTCACTGCCTGAGACTCCTTCACCCCCTTGGATCTGCCTCTGAGGGAGTCAGGAGTCGCCTGATGCACTCAGCAAGCCTCACACTGTATTGATCAAGGTAATGAGGTGCTGTCATGTTAAATCCAAGCGAGTCCCAGAAAACCCATTTGGTAGGTGTTCTCCTTAGCCACTTTTAAGTCGTGTGATTAAACAGTGATTCTTGAAGTCAGAAACATGACATCTTGCCTTTGATTTAGAAGTTAGAAGAACAATATTTATCTGCGGGAGAAGCCAGCTTAGAGTCCTCATTTGTCTTTGTAGCATTATCAGGTATCCAGCAGATGTCACTGTTAAAGCCTGTGTTCAGTTTTTTTGGCTTTACTGAGTAATGTTTACAGGAAAGCTCAATTTGGGGGGCAATGCTTTATCAATGATGTAATGACAGTTTCTATTAGTTTGCTACTGTGTATAGTACTAAATCAAGTAACCTGCCTGCGTATTTTTGTGGAAGCATTTTTCTCCATCTATCAGCATAAAATGCAGAAATTTCCTAAGCATTTCATTGCTTCATATACAGAAAATGTAAATTCTAAAATAAATAAATAAACTTTATTTTTAAAAACAAATAGTGCTACATAAATATTCAATTTTTAATATAAAAGATGACTGAAATCATCTGAATTGTTTTTACTCACATTTCTGACATCAAATATGTGAGGTCTTTCCCCCTACACACACACCAACTAATTCTCTGACACCAGCTGAATGGCCTACAATTCAATTCAATTCTATGTACCTGAAATTACCATCAGATCCCTTAAGACTGCCCCCACTTCAGGCAACAATTGCAAGTCCCAGGATTCCCGTGGTTTTGACGGACTGGTTATAAATTAGGGGTTACCATGAACCTCTCCCATGTTTGATTTGCTGCAATGATTTATAGAACTCAGGAAAACACTTTGCTTACTGTTACAGATTTAGAAGAAAGGATAAAACCCAGGAATAGCCAAAGGAAAAATGCAAAGGGAAACACTGGTATTAAAGGGCTCAGAGCTTCTGTGCCCTCTGGGCAGGCCACTGTCCCTCACCTCCACGTAGTCACCAACTTGGAAGCTCTCAGAAGCCCATTTTTTAGGGGTTTCAATGGAAGTCCATTGCATATGCTTGATTGATGAAGTATTGGCCACTGTTGATAAACTCAATTTCTGGCCTTGCTCTCCTCCACAGTTTGGTGGGGTAGGGACTGAAAGTTCTAGCCTCTAGGCACATTCCTTGGCCAACCAGCCTCTACCCTGAGTCTATCTAGAGACAAACTAAGTCACCTTATTAGCATAAACTCAGGTATGGTGCCAAAAACAAGATTTCTGTCACCCAGTGTAAAGGATTCTAACAGCTCTTGTGCCAATAACTGGTGACAAGGGCCAACTATTTATTTATTATTATATTACAATAACACAGATAATTCTAGTGAGTCCCAAAGTATTTCTTGATTTCACTCATAACCGTATGCTACATCATGTAACTTTGAGATATTCTAGTGAGCTATCATGATGTGCTCCCAACTCTGTCATAAAAGCTACACTCAAAAGAAGTGAAAGGAACATCTCTTTTGATTTGATGACAGGACCATACCTGAATTTGGGAGCTGGCATTGGTTAGGGTACAAAGCTAAAAAGTGGCTTAAAGAACAAAGAAGGCAGTTCCCTCTTACACCACTATTCCAGGGAAAGAGGGTCAGGTTGCAGAGCAATTCTGTTCCACGTGATCCATCATTGGTCTAAAAGTGTTCTCAGTGGCATGGTTGAGGCTGGTTGCTGGGTGTTCCAGTCAGCAATAATGAGGAAGAAAGTGTGGAAGGTGCATGCTCACCCCTAGAGAGCCTGGTCCTAGAAGAGGGTCTCATGATTCTGCCCATTCCATTGTTACCATTTAGTTAATTTCACCTCTAACTGCAAAGGAGGTCTGGAAATTTGTGTCTGCCTAGGAAAGGGGTGGGGGATGATGGAAAACTAGCAGTTTCCACCAGAGAGCTAGTGACTCATTGGTTTGATTGGCAATGACCTTCAAATGCGATTCTCCATGTCCTTTTCAGGAGGTGCACTCCGTGTACAGAATTCTGGCTGGGATTTTGAATATCGGGAACATTGAATTTGCAGCTATTTCCTCTCAACACCAAACTGATAAAAGTGAGGTGCCCAATCCTGAAGCTTTGGAAAATGGTAATTATTTGATGCTTCTGTGCTATGTTGCCAAGCAATATTTCTTTCACTGTGGTAGTTTTCCAAAATCTGTAGAATAAAATGCAGCTGTAGCTGATTCTACTGGCTCTGGATGTTTTCACTAAGCAGCATTTCCCTAAGGATATCCTATGGAGTATCAGTGCTCCTTCCATAGACTGCAAATAGGTATTCCACAGAAAAAAATTCCATGGCCAGTAACTTTGGGYAGTGGTTCTCAACCTTGGCGGCATTTGAAAATTATCTACAAATGTTTTGGGGGAAAAAATGCAGGAATATTTTTTGGGAAAAAAATGATACTTCTGAGTAAGGGCTTATGGGATTCTACTGCCTAAAACAAGGAGGAGATTAGTCCTTACTGTGAACCTACTGAATCAGCATCTGCAGGAGAGAAAGCAGGTACCAATTTATTTTTAAAGATCTGTGGGTAATTACGGTGGCACAAAGAATGAGAATTCTCAGTCATAAATAAGTGAGCTGATTTAAATACAGTTAAAAAAACTTTCTGTGTTAAACTGCAGCATTTTTTAGGGCCTTTAATATACTAGAGTACTTTGTGACTCTCTAAGAGAAGAGAATACAGTCTATGACATTCCCTCCAACCACACCCTCCCTATCCCCCTTTTTTCCATCAAAAACCTATTTAAAATTAAAAAAAAAATAAATATATTGTTGTCTAGATAAAAAAAATAAAATATAAAAACACCTTACTTTAGGTCTGGGAATGTAGCTCAGTGGTAGAGTGCTTGCCTACTATGCACCAAAAACAAACAAACAAACAAACAAAAAAAACGACATTAGTGTTACAGGTGATAACTGGAGTCCAAAGAAAGTGGCTCTCCCAGACACACAGGGAAGCCAGTGAAAGAGCTGAGAATATTATTCAAAAGTTCTAATTCCTGGCTGAGCTCTCTTTAAGTACACAGCCAGGCATCATTCCTCAGTGATACCATCAAGTATCCAACTTCTAGGCTTCGAGGTGGGTGGGCCCTCTCCTATCTCCAAATCAGTGTATCAGAGTAAAAGACTTGGGGTCTGCCTCTAGGGCTCATTAGCTGTTCAGYTTTAGTGTCATGAAAAGTATGGGTCCAGAGAAGGCTCAGAAAACCTCTGGATGTGTGCGCACATGCACCTGCCAGCCCTGAGGAGTGCAGAATCCTGACTATCAGGCTAACAGCAGCTGATAGACAGGTGGACCCTTTCTATCCCTTGAGAAATCTAGGAAAGTCCTCACATTTCCATTATTTTAAAAGTAGCATGGTGTTTTATGCATGAATATGAATTAGTAATTTGTCAGAGACTTCTCTGRTGCTGGCTGTCTGCCTTTTTCTTCTGAAACTGTATTCTCTACTGAAATGTTCTATTCCCCCTTTGCACATGCCTTGTCCACTCCGATTTAACACAAGACAATTCTTTGTGATGCTATGTCTTTGGAAGCCATGTGGAATTCTTCTCAGATAATCCGAAATAAAAACYCACAATGCAAAAACAAAACAACAACAAAATACTTATAAAGAGCCTTCAGATCAGTTTGAGAGCCACTGTATTCGTCTAAATGCTTCGTGGGGCTAGGGTCCCAGCTTGTTGATCTTGAACTACCTAGGATTCAGGCTTGTACCTAGAAGGTGTTGAATAAATGCTGACCGATCGACTGAATGAAGGGATGGCCACATTCCCCCGTGTCATCCTTACTTTTTGTTCCAGCTGCTTCTATTCTCTGCATCAGCCCCAAAGAGCTGCTGAAGGCCCTCACATCCCACTGTGTGGTCACAAGGGGCGAGACCATCGTCCGCGCCAACCCTGTGGACAGGGCCGCGGATGTTCGGGATGCCATGTCGAAAGCTCTGTATGGGAGGCTCTTCAGCTGGATTGTGAATCGCATCAATACACTCCTGCAGCCAGAGAAAAACATATGGCAAGTGCCCCCAGAACAAGCGAAGGCCTGGGAGAGCAGTCCTCAACCTGGTGGCTCTTGGGGTCTACAAGAGGAAGCATTTTGCCCTCTCTGGGGTTTTCTTTAGCAGAGCGTTCAGGCTTTCTCCTTTAAAAGACAAAATAGAATCCAAAAGAATCAGAGTGTTTATACCAGGGAGGTGAATGATTGATGGAGCCATTCAAGTGAGTAGGCTTGGCTGGGAGCTGGACAAACTGAGTTCACACAAGAGGTCTACAGCTTAATCAGCTCCATGTTCAAAGTCACAGTTTTCCCATCTGTAAGATGAGAATGATATATCCATCCTCCACACTATGTTTTTGGAATCACATGGACATTTACGAAAAGTTTTAACGTACAGCACCTTCCATTATTACTATGACAACCCCCTGCCCCCAAAGCATTGGCTATTAATTGGTTTCTTATATTGTGCCTCCACTGTCATTGTTTCCTCAATGACAATTTTGAATTCTGAACAGCACTCTTCTGAACAAGCTTTGTATAATGCATATGCAGAGGCTATAGCCCCTGCATTTATGTAATAGATGGAGCTTCTGAGTAGGGGCTTAAAGGATTCTAGTACCTAAAAAAAATTAAAAATAAAAAATACTGCTGAAAAACCTAATGAACCGATGGTTGATGACATAAACTGTCCCTGCCTTGGAGGTGGCAGCATGCAGCTTCTATCTGCATGTGGGTGGGCCCATGTGTTGATGGAAACTCGGGCACACATGTTCTCATGGTCATGAGATGAATGTTTCCTCCCTTGAAGGATTTTATTCATCTTTCTTGTGCAGTCATTCAGGTAATGGAATGAACGTGGGAATCTTGGACATTTTTGGATTTGAGAACTTTCAGAGAAATTCATTTGAGCAGCTCTGCATAAACATCGCCAATGAGCAAATCCAGTACTATTTCAATCAGCACGTCTTTGCTCTTGAGCAGGTAAGAGTGAACTCTGAAGTTACTAAACTCGATGGGAAAGGTATCTCCAAACTTCCCATGATTTGAAGCAAAAACCCTATTAGGCTAAATGGTAAAAGACTTAAAATCACTGATGAGATGGTCTTGTCAAAACAAACTATCTACATTTAGTATGAAAAAAAGAGATATTGATTTCTGTGGACACTCACATTTTCTCACTTGATTGGAGCTGGTGACAAGCTAATTACTTAAGTCTTGCTTCAAAATTCTTTCATGCATATTGCCTGAAATACTTTACWCTCTTCTGTTTGAACCCCAAATCTCTGATTGTGTCCAAAATGACATAAGGTGATCTTGAATTCAGGTCATAGTTTTTTTTAAGAAATATTTTTATTTTTTAGTTATGGGTGGATACAGTGTCTTTATTTTGCTTTATGTGGTGCTGAGAATCGAACCCAGTGCCTCACGCATACTAAGCATGTGCTCTACCTTTGGGCCAGCCCCAGGTCATAGGTTTTTAATAACTGCACTAGCCATCCCTATCTTCCATCTCCTCTGTACCAGATGCCTCAGTAACTGGAGGAAATTAAGGTCTGTTTGTGGATTTCTAGAAATAGAAGCCTTTCCTTTCTGAGCTCAGTGATAAGTTCCATAGGGTGAGAAGCTTGTGGACCCAAGGGGTGCCCTTCTCCTGTAGCAACAGCCTGCATAGCAAAGCCTACTCCACACCAAACCTTACTTAAACCCCAAGCTTTCCTTTTGCATAAAAGAGACACAATAACAAATATTCTAAACAAGCCCTGTAAGTGCAGGGACAATTATTTTAATGCAACTATATGAGGACACATGAACTCTGTTGTAATTAGATAAATACAGAGACACCAAGTGAAAATACTGTGCCAATATTGGTTTTATCACAGCAGCTGGATAAATCTGCAGAGCATGCCTCACCAGCTCATCCTGCACACAAGTCAACTTGGCTTCCATCCATTTATCTCCCTGGGAAATCTGGAGTTTTTCTAGTTTTCTAGCCCAGAATGATTCCTTTTGTGTAGAATGTAGAAGTCTTCTTTCTTCCTGTTTTAAACCATATTTATCACCAAAATATTTTTTTTCCGGTTTTACTTTGTGCATAAGTATCTAAATTAGGAGCCCCCAAGTCTGTGTTTGAGAGACAACTTTTGCTGGCTTGAGCTGCCTGCCACAGGCCACCTATAAGCCACACATAAATGCACAGCTGCAACAGGCCGGTATTCAGAAGATTCCTTTACTGTACACATCCAACACATCCTGTTTTCCATATGCATTTAAGTTTGCCAAATCTGGAAAGTTCAGGCCAAAGTATCCTGGTGGTATTGAGACAAGTTTCTGGCTAGAGAGATTCACAGTCCGATTCCCTCCAGATGGAGTACAAGAATGAGGGCATTGATGCCATGCCTGTGGAGTATGAGGACAATCGCCCACTCCTGGACATGTTCCTCCAGAAGCCCCTGGGCCTGCTTGCACTTTTAGATGAGGAGAGTCGGTTTCCCCAAGCAAGGGACCAGACCCTGGTTGGTAGGTATCTTGTGGAAAAAAAATGGGCACATCTACTTCTAACAGAAATTGGTTTCATGACATCAAGTGAATGTGGGTTTTAAATTTTTTWAAAAATTTGCTTTAATTAGTTATACATGACAGTAGAATGCATTTATGCACTTTGATATATCATACATAGATGAGATATAATTTCTCATTTTTCTGAGTGTACATGTTGCAGAATCATATTGGTCATGCAGTCACACACACRCACATACCACACACACATACACACACACACACACAGAGTAATAATATCTGTTTCATTCTGCTATCTTTCCTATCCCCACATTCCCTCCTCTTCCCTCCCRTTACTTCCCTGTACTTAATCTAAGATAACACTATCCTTTTCTACTGCCTAGCCACCTTATTGTGAATTAGCATCCGCATACATTCAGTCTTTGGTTTTGTGGGATTGGCTTATTTTTCTTAGCATGATATTCTCCAGCTCCAACCATTGACTGGCAAATGCCATAATTTTACTCTTCTTTAAAGTTGAGTAATATTCCATTGAGTACATATACCACATTTTCTTTATCCATTCATCTATTGACTGACATCTAGGTTGATTCCATAGTCTAGCTATTGTGAATTGAGCTGCTACAAACATTGATGTGGCTACATCACTATAGTATGCTGATTTTAAGTCCTTTGGGTATAAACCAAGGAGTGGGATAGCTGGATCAAATGGTGATTCCAGTTTCAATTTTCTGAGAATCGCCATACTGCTTTCTATAGTAGATGCACGAATTTTCAGTCCCACCAGCAGTGTACCTTTTCATCAGATCCTCCCCGACATTTATTGTTGCTTGCATTCTTTTTTTTTTATTGGTTGTTCAAAACCTTACAAAGCTCTTGACATATCATATTTCAAACATTAGTTTCAAGTGAGTTATGAACCCCCATTTTTACCCCAAAGTTGCTTGCATTCTTGATGATTGCCATTCTGAAGCTATATATGCTAAACTCAAGGCCAGCATCATTCTAAATGGAGAAAAATTGAAAGCCTTCCCACTAAAAACTGGAACAAGACAAGGATGCCCTCTTTTACCACTTCTATTCAACATCAACCTTGAAACTCTAGCCAGAGCAATTAGACAAAAGAAAGAAATTCAAGGAATACAAATAGGTAAAGAAGATCTCAAACTATTACTATTTGCTGAGACATAATTCTGTATCTAGATAAAAAAATTCCATCAGGAAACTTCTAAAACTAATAAATGAATTCAGCAAAGTAGTAGGATATAAAATCAACTCCCATAAATCAAACGCATTCTTATACATCAGTGAAGAATCCACTGAAAGAGAAATTAGGAAAACTACTCCATTCACAATAGCTTAAAAAAATAAAATAAAATACCTGGGAACCAATCTAACAAAAGAGGTGAAAGACCTCTACAATGAAAACTACAGAACACTAAAGAAAGAAATTGAAGAAAACCTCAGAAGATGAAAGATCTCCCATGCTCCTGGATAGGCAGAATTAATACTGTCAAAATGGCCATACTACCAATGACATTCTTCATAGAAACAGAAAAAGCAATCGTGAAATTTATTTGGAAAAATAAGAGACCCAGAATAGCTAAAGCAATCTTTAGCAAGAAGAGTGAAGCAGGAGACATTACAATACAGACCTTAAACTCTATTACAGAGATATAGTACCAAAAACAGCATTTTGATATTGGCACCAAAATAAACTTGTAGACCAATGGGTATAGAATAAAGGACACAGAGAAAAACCCACATAAATATGGTATGTCATACTAGACAAAGGTGCCAAAAACATTCACTGGAGAAAAGGTAGCCTATTCAACAAATGGTGCTGGGAAAACTGGAAATCCGTATGTAGCAAAATGAAATTAAACCTCTATCTCTCACCCTGCACAAAAATCAACTCAAAATGGATCAAAGACTTAGGTACTAGAACAGAGGCCTTGTGCCTAACAGAAAAAAAATAGGCCCAAATCTTCACCACATAGACCTAGGATCTGACTTCTTAACAAGATTCCTAGAGCGTAAGAAGTCAAATCAAGAATTAATAAATGGGATGGATTCAAATTAAAGAGTTTCTTCTCAGCAAAAGAAACAATAAAATGAGAAGAAAGCCTACAGATTGGGAGAAAATCTTTACCACATGCACCTCCGATAAAGTATTAATCTCTAGGACATATAAAACATATAAAGAACTCAAAAAACTTGACACCAAAAAAACCCAAACAATCTAATCAATAAATGGGCTAAGGAACTGAACAGACACTTCACAGAAGAAGATATACAATCAATCAACAAATTTATGAATGTGCTTTAATGTGTATACCCTATGTATTTTGGCTACCTGGTGAGTTGTTAAAGTATTAACTCCATTTTTAATTGAGTTGTGATGTCCTGGTAGAATTTGTGTCTTAAAGGAAACTCATCACCATCCCTATACCCTCCTGCCTTCCTATTTCCCACCAACACAATGCCATTACCTTTGCCCTCACTTACTCCCCTTCCTTTTTGTACCCCCATCTCATAGGTAGCACAGAAGCTTGTTCCAGACTCACACTTTCCCCTCCTGCCAGACAACCCGGCTCATTTCTAAAACCCCAGTTCCYTAAGCTGCTGGTGCCTACAGGTTGAAGATGGGGGCACTTCTTCCTGACAGCTAAGACCCTCTATTCTTTCAGCCTTTTCCTTTTGACCTCTTCCTTCTTCTGGAATCTTTGGTTTCACATGAGCTTCACTCCTCACTAGATGGTGAGATGCCTGGGGCCCCAGGCCCCCGGTGCCTGTGTGCCTTTGGTCCTGAGCACGCATCCTCCCACAGAGCAGGCTCCCAGCTGCAACCACACAATGCAAAGGTGCTTGTGAGGGAGGAACAGGAAGTTCAAGCCTTTTCCCCAGATGGAAAATTGATTTATGGGAGAGATTCACATCTAGAGGTTGAAATTTTCACCTCAGTGGTTTTCTTTTTTTTTTCCCATAATACTGTCATAATTTGCCAAGATGAGTCTACCTGCCTTCCGTGGGCTATCTGCAGGGCTGRCAGGCCTGGGATATCCTCAGCATGCATGCCAGAGCTCTTAGGGACTGCAGGAAAACATGCCATCTTAGGGCAGAGCCTGACACTAAACACAACACTAATCAAATAAGCAAGGGCAAGGCAGGAAATGCCCCTCATGTGGGTGATCCTTCTGCAGTCTTGTATATACAGTGGTAATATTGGGCTTGTCTGAAAGCCATTATTCTGGGTCTCTCGTGGCTTGGGGAACATGTTTTTGTTTGAAATAACAAATAGTTCATATCGTGATTTTTCTACATGAAAATCCATGCAGATAAATTCGAAAATAATTTACGATGCAAGTATTTCTGGAGGCCCAAAGGAGCGGCRTTGTGCTTCGGCATTTGGCATTATGCTGGAAAGGTGAGTCTATACCTGAGTGTCACGGAAGGTAAGTGCCCATGTTACCCTGTCAGTGCCACTGCTGAAATTGCTTGCAGATTTCATCCTGCTTTTAATTCTTGAACCCCAAATTGTCATTCTCAGACTCTCCCAGTGGTGCCACTAACAGAAAGTTGCCTCTTGGCATAGAAGCAGTTTCTCGCTGGGGTGGCCCACAGAGCTGCCATCTGCTTCTCACCTGAAGGCTGGCCTAGGACTGACAGCTCTCCAGAGAGCAAACACATTACAGATTTCACAGTGTTTTGTAGTGAATGTTCACATTCTAACGTCATTTGGAGACGCGTAGGTAGCGCAGGAGGGTTTATATCACAGTGGGGCTCAATTTTTAGCACTTTAAACATATGTCTACAGGCCACCAAAAAAGGTCCAGATGAAAGGGGAAATATTTCACTTCATCATCCAGATGTTAAGCTTTTACAACATTAACTGAAGTTTCCATTTCTCATATATTATGCCTGAGTCTCAATGTCAAGTTCCCGAAACAGATCAGTGACTGATTCGGGAAATTCTCCAGTCACGTAGCCAACAACTCATTGCTCATGTTACTTCCAAAGGAGCCAACTGAATTATGGCTAATTGGTTCCTGTGGGCTTCGTTGAGGCCCTGGATCCAGAAAATGGGTAGGAGTTCAATAAAAGGCATTTGGGATTATTTAGTTGATATAAAATGAATCAAAATTATCTTTCATATTCATATCATGACACTGAAACTAATTTTCCTGATTGGATATCGACCAAAAGGCAATTCTAATGCTAGGAGAGAGGACTGTGCTTTTCTCTATGTGGTCTTTTTATGCTGTCTTCTTTGGAACTCTGTTAGAAATTGTGGTTCAGTCTTTGCCCTTGAGTACTTCATTTACCTCCACACTGATGTCTGACTGCATATTAATGTCCTCTGAGTCTGAGATGCCAGCGTCAACCCAGATCCTCCTCCCCATCCTCTCTACCTCCTGTTCCTGTCCTCTTCCTGTCACCTCTTCTTTTTATCCACCTTTTCCATTTTCCCACTCTCCTTCCCCCTTTTTCCTCCTTTCCTTTCTAGGATCCTTTTCTCTCTGGGCTCTGTGTCCTTTGCTGAATTCAGTTACCATTCAAAGCTCATTCATAGACTAGGGATGCTCTGGAATATTCCTTAAAATTTCTCTGGCCTGGATCCCCTTTCCTCTGAAACCCAAGAACTGCTCAGTGTCCTTGAGTGACGACTCCTGTGAGTGCCTTGGGAGTCGGTGAGTGTGGTGGTTGTGAGCATGGAGACAAACTGCCCTAGTTTTTTTTTTGTTTCTGTATGTTTGGTACAAGGGGTTGAACTCAAGGCCTCACACATGCCAAGCAAGTGCTCTACCACTGAGCTGCAACCTGGCCTGCCTGGGTTCAGTGCCCGTCCCTTACTCATGTTATCCAACTACTTCACTCTCTGCTTGCTTACCAGTAGAATGCAGATAACAATAGTGTTTACCTCATAAGGTGGATGCTTTGCACAGTRACCAATATATTTTCATTTTTATTCTGATGTGATATATCTTTGATAGGACCTGTCTTTGGTCTTCAAAGTCACTGGACAAGAAGCTAGGATAAATTGACCTATCAAAATCACAACTTCCCCCCTTTATCTGGTGCTTAGGATTTAAAAGCCTGACTGTGTCAACAAGAGTTTCTATACGGAGGTCAATAAGGACTGACCAGACAGCTCATCCGTGTCTCCAGAGATGGACAGTGGCCTTGGCTAACTTCCCATTTGCTGTTGGTGTTGCAGGTACTATATGATGCTTCTGGGGTTCTTGAGAAAAACAGAGACACCCTCCCTGCTGAYGTGGTTATAGTCCTGAGAACGTCAGAAAACAAGCTTCTTCAGCAACTCTTCTCCATCCCTTTGACCAAAACAGGTACCTGACACTCCCTGACAGCCCCAGTCCTTACACAARCCCAGACGTCATTTTCTAGTTAGTGTTCAAACACTGCCATGTCTACACAACTAACACTGAACCTCTTCAAACAGGGTTTATTGAAATTCAAGAAAAGAACATTGATTTTTTTCTTCCATAATTTAACCATATAGCAAAAGAATACATGTTCTCTCTCTCTCTTTCCCTCTCTCTCTCTCTTTCTCTCTCTCTCTCTCTCTCTCTCTCTCTCTCTCTCTCTCTCTCTCTTCCATAACATCAACTCTTAGACTTCTCATTTTCTCTGCCTATCTTTTCTTGTTTGTGTGTTTGCAGTGCTGAGCATTGAACCCAGGGTCTTGCACGTGGCAAGTGAGTCCTGCTTCTTTTTAGTCTTCAAATCATAAAGCCATATATTACCATTCACTCATGTTAAGCTTTCTAGGATAGTCTCTGTTGACCTAGAATTATTGGGAAGATGATTGCAGTTCATGAGTGATTCTAGGTGAAAGGAGTGTGTTATATCAAAATCACTKATCATAGGATCCTCAGGGTTACACAGCCTAACTTGTAGCTCAGTCATCAATCCCACTCCACCATCCTCCTAATCAACTGGAAAGTACACGGCCTTGCTGACTGACAGTCAACTTCTGTTTAGTCTCTCAGTCAGCGCTCATGCCAAGAAGCAGGAAACCAGGGCCAAAGACAGGAACTCCCAGGTCTTTGCTGTTTTGCCAAATGGATTCTAACTGGATCAATTTGCTGGACCAATTTGATTTACCTGGGGTTTKCTGCCTTTGGCTGGGCAGCCAACAATCTTCTCACAGCTCTATTCTCAAGGGCTTTATGTTTATGAGGCTATGGAAATAGCTGAGGATATGCTTTTAAGAAAGAGAGGGAGAGACCTCTTAATCATTGCTCATCATTTCCTCTTCTTTCCATGTCCCTCTTAAAACTGTTGGCACTGTGTCTAGCTTGGGAYGTTTATATGCTGAAAGAGAGTCGCTGCCAGGTCTGGGAAGGAAAAGCCTGGCTAAGGAGGAAAAAAAAATGCTGCAGTAGTCTACAAAGTTTGCGTTACCTTCTCCATCTTAACTTGGGAGGAAAGTTGAAATCAGGCTTTTTCTTCAGACATTCTCCTATAATCAAAACTAGTAGCAGGGCGCCCCTCAGAGAGCTGCTCTCCAGCGTCCTCTCCAGAGCCTCCTTGAGTACAGCCAAGATTTAATTTATTGTAGGCTCTTGGGAACTCAGGGCAGGTATGTGCAGGGCTGGCTAGACACAGTGGTGTAGCTTCCTTCTAAGGCGATTTCTCTGTAGAATCAAGGACATGGCCATTATTAATAGGGGACATATTCTCTGAAACAAAATCTATCCCAATGACTCTCAAATGTGAGTAAMGACTTGTCAAATCTGTTCACAACTTTGGAATTTCTGATTTCTTAAACGTTTGGAAAAATGAAAACAAGTTCGCAGCCCTGGACGCTAGGGGGCGCTATTCAGAAAGTAAGGCTCCGCAGMGAGCCTCCTGCTCTTGCCTGGAATCCTTTAAATGTCGGGAGGCAAAGGAACAAAGAGACAGCCTTAATTATTGCTTTTCTTTTTTTTTTTTTCCTTTTCTTTTCTCCCAAAGAGCTTGTAGTATTTTCTGAATCTTGAATCTGCTTTCCTCATCACCTGGATGAAACAAAAATAGAAGAAAAAAAAAGATTGGAAACAAACGTGATATTCTTTCAAGCGTCTTTGTATTCCTGACTTGCATATTATGCATAATAATTTCTTTTGAAATCCTAAGTTTGATTTTTCTCCATACTTTGAACATAATTAGGAAGCCACATACGAACATCACATCTAATAAGCATGATTCTATGTTCCTTTTCTGGAATTATTCATGTTAAAATGCATTCAACTAAACWCTGAACAACTTTTGGTGACAAGGCACTGATGGTCAACAAAGGGGGCTTCAGAGATAATATCACTGTGCCATAAAGCATATAAAACTTTCTTTTACCTTCACTTTCTGCCTAGAATTGGACCCTAAGTTATCACCTTATGAAATAGTTTTCCTTACATCTTAGTTCCCAAGTGATTGTGCACCCTCTATTGAATGCTAGCATGTTACGCTTTTGCACTTATAGCATCTATGGCTAAGTTTTTTGGTTTTATTATATTACAGACTTTGAAAATGGGAAAAACTCACGAGACCAAAATAGGTTGTCCTGTTTTTGCTAAAATTGCAGATATCTGTTTCAGGCATATGCCTGCCCCTTATGAAGGGGAAAGTAGTTGTACATTCCTGCTGGAAGTAAGATCCCACACATCCTAGTGTTTTGAAAAGAAATATGCTAACATTGTCCATGCATGAKAAACCAACTTTTGGTCATTTTTATTTTATCATCCTGCTTCAGAATCTGAATTGTATTATTAAAAGTAAACTGGGCCAGGTGTGGTGGCTCATGCCTGTCATCCAGCAACTCCGGARGCTGAGGCAGGAGGACCAAAAGTCTGAGGCCAGCTTCAGCAATTTAGCAAGACCCTATCTTAAAATAAAAAGGATTCAGGATGTAGCTCCGTGGTTAAGCACCCCTGGATTCAATCCCCAGGACCAAAAAGAAGTAAATTGAGCACTAGTTCAGTGAGCATAGATATTATGGGGAGTTAACTTTATAAGCCCCTTTGGAGAAGGAAAATATCAAAGTTGGAAGCTTTGGGGACTACTATCCCCAAACATAAAAAGAGGACARTATTGGATTTCTCAATGTTGAGAGGAGAGATATCTGGTAAAAAGACTCATAAGGGATGTTGACAATGCTCTGATGCTCTGGCTCCTGATCTCAACAGTGTTTTCAAGGACATTTGCATTATAATAGTTATTATGCAGTATATTTATGCTTTGCATACTCTTTTGTGTGTGCATTCTATTTCACAAAATYATGGGTGTTTTTCCACAAAATGAAAGGAAGGCCCCTTAAAATATAAACAATAACTTTAATTTCTTTATCAAAATTTTCCAGTTGAGATCTCCTAATATCTAGACTACTGCTGTCCTTTACTTTTAAGCAGAGGCATCAGAGAACACTGGATTGACATTTCTACCTCTTCAAGTTAGCATCCTGCCTGGGCTACTAGGTGGGAAACACTCCTTTCATTAGTAGATATAAAAAAGTATTGAGGCTTGGTTTAATTTCTTATCAAGATTGAGATGATCAACTTGTATGTCATGTGCAATTTTATTAGTTAGCTTTCCTTTACTGTCACAACTACCTGAGATCATCAACTTATAAGGAGAAAAGRTTTGTCTTATAGTTTTAGAGATTTCAGTCCATGAACAGTTGGCCTTGTTGCTTTGGGCCTGTGGCAGCATATCATGGCAGGAGTGTGTGGCAGAGCAAAACCATTGACCTCAGGGCTGGAAAGTGAGAGAAAGAAGAAGAGACCAGGGTTCTCACTGTGAGGCCAAGCCCATGCCCYGAAGAGCTCCAACAGGCTCCAACTCTTAAAGGTTCCATCATCTCCCAGTAGTGCCAAGCTGGGGACCAATTCTTTAACACATGGGCCTTTGAGGAACATTCCAGATCTAAACTGTAGCAGGAAGCATAATAGAAAATCAGRGAGAGTAATCTGTGTGGCTTTTCCTATTTCCTACCCACTCTTTCCTGCTTATGCTCTACATTCTAGATACTGAAATACTGCAGAGATTGAACATGTGAAGTGGCATTTGAGGCCCAGGTTTATAGGTTCCTGCAGCTCCCTCCCAGTGGCCCCTTCTGCTGGTACAAGCTACATCTAGTGTAGASATGCCAGAGCCTGAAGGGCACTCTCATTCCAAGGCTCTTGGTGACAACTGGGTAAATGGGGACAACTATTTAATATGGATGCTCTCTTTCTTCCCCTCCCATGCCAGCCCAACCATGCTTGTGCCTGCAGATAGGCCATTTCAGATTGATGAAGTTTTCTTTGCAATCCTTCCTATTGAGCAACAATTTTCAAGAGATTTTATGAATGAAAATTCAATATGGCACCATCACTACCATCTAACCCTGCAGCTGTGACTTTTCAATCTGAATGATGTAGATGTTACACCAAGGTTTCATGGCATATTTTCCTGTTTGAAGAATGTTCTACTTGCTCCTAGTAAGCTAAAGTAGTATTCAAAATGCTCAGGTGAGGGAGGAGAAGAAGTTTCAAAAAGAACTTGGAAAATTCATCTCTGTCTTTGAATCATGAATTCTGACTTCCAAATAGTAGTTTGGCGGGGCCSGAGGATGGGCAGGGTAAAGGAGTTAGGAACTTGGGAGAAACTAGAAGGAATACATGCAAGTAGCACCAGAGGGAATGTTCTCTGAACTTCCAAGTCTGGTTTCACTTTGAATCTAGAGCTGAGTTTTACCTCTGTTGCTTTGTGTCCAAGGACTCTCAGGTTTTTCCCTTGGAATTTGATTTGCAGTGAAAATCAATAGTAATGTCTCTCTTGACTTCCATTGTCTCCCCTTCTTATTTAGGGYAGGGGTGACAAGATGACACTGTATCTTATAATATCTTTAAAGCACTTTAACACCATCTCTGCTRAAGTCCTTGATGTCAGTGACCCCATTCCTGATTAATGTTCCTTAAGGGCATTAAGCCCTCAAAAGGGTATCTTTTGGTAATTATCTCTGAGAGTTTCCATTTTCTCTTTATGATTGTTCCAGTGTCCTGGCAATGTAGCAGAAGGGTCTGGTAGATGACATGAATCCAAGTGACAAAGTTTAGGGCTACAGACATGGACAGTACCCAGCTCTTYCTGAAATGRAGRCTCAGATAACTCAATACCATCAGGGATCCTTGGAGAGTGAGTTTCTCTCCATATGAATCCTSCTTCTTTCTGTGTAAGAGTGTATCTCACTCAACAGATAATTATGTATTTGGTATCTGCTGAGATATGGTGCTGTGCATAGGTGTTTTATAGGAGCATAGAAGAAAGTCCTATCCAGAATGTTCAGAGACAAATATTGCCAAATCCA